GGAAGTCGAGGCATTGGCATTGATTCTCGAGGAAATCGAGGGAGATGCTCTCGTAGTACTTCTGAAGGTCATAAAAGACTGACCCTGAAGTGAGGCCCTTGGAAACTCCCGCTTCGGCTTTGAAACTCTGCCTCCAGACAACATCCGTCGCACCCCGATTGGCGCCAGCAGCCCAATAGGGCCTCGCAAACTTCTTTTCCCAATCCAGAGCGAAGGGCCGCCTGGCTCGGCCCCAAAGCCGATACCACGAAACAAAAACCCCGATGGGCCTGAAGCCCCCGACGGGTTTGGGCAAGAGGGCCAAGAGCACAACCATTAACTGATCAGGCAGCCTCCCCGTGGCTTCGATGACGTAAAGGAGCCCCGAGAGAGCAATGAGGGCGGCGTCACACAAAACCGAGTAGTGGCGCAGGTGGAAACCGTCAACCGAAACCGCACTTTGTTTACGGTAAGTCCTGCAGACCTGGCGGATCTCATCGGGGGAGAGACGGGGGAGAGGGGAAACCAAACGAACAGGGCCCACAGGGGGCCCGCTCCCCTCCCCCACCAAGTCTGAAAGCGCTTACCCTCAGCCGACAGGAGGGCCCTGGGGTCCGCCACGATTTGACCATTCTCCGCAATGGTGACCGAGGGAACCCAGGGAGTTGGGTCTCTGAGAACATGATGGGCCCGCCTGCCCCCTTGGCCCAAACCTTCCTGGAGCCATTCTCGCCAGCGGCGCTTGTTAGCCTTGGCAAAGTCCTTAGAGGCCTCCTCTAGGCACGGCGCGAGAGAAGCGAGCAGCTGATCAACATCAGCCACGAAATCCGAGAAAGTGGGCGGGGGCCGCACGGCCCGATCCGCCTGATCCTGACACTGATTATCGAGCGCGACGAGCAAAACGGGGGGAGGAGGATGCGCTCCGAGCGGAGCCGAGCGCACAGCCGTGTGCTTGCGACCAGCCAGTCGATCAGCGCAGGAGGCTGCTAAGCTGGTGGCACGTTGAAATAGAACAGCATGACAGGCTCGAGCCGTGCCAGCGCACGGCGGCGTAGAGCACAAGGTCTTGATGCACCGCAGTGGAACGTTGTGGGCTAAAACCTCAGATCTCAAGGCCTTGAGCTGGGTCTCCAACCACTTCAGACCGCGAGCAACGGGATCCTTGGACGGAGCACAGGCCTGGCAGATGGGCTTCCAAAAGGTCTCGATGGTTTTGCCGCGGGACCCGTAGACAGGGAGGTCGGCTCCCAGGACCCGCGCGAGGTCAAGTTCGGCTCTATTCGCCCAGAGACCGTACCCTTCAGTGAGCAGGGCAGCAGCCCCGTCACCGTCCCCAAGGGACACCCTGTCGACGGCAGTATTGACCAGGTCAAGAACCATATCCCAATCAGTGCTGCACTCCTGCGGCCTGGGGCCGAACGGGGGGTCCACAGGTAAGGGCGGCGGCTTGCGAAAGGCGAGAGCCTTCAATTGAAGCAGACGGGGGTGAAAAGTGAGCGACACGGGCCTGTGGGGGTTGAGCGTCGTGTCGAGTCGGACTTTGGCCTCCCTGAGGCCCTTGGCCAGGGGGGACGAGACCACGAAGTAGTCAAACTTGGACGGGTCGCCCAGGGAAGGATAGCGGGTGTTGTCGGGGGTGGTGATGAGAAGACCCCCCACAGCTTTAGCGAATCCCATGCCTTCTAACAGGTCTGGCCCGAAGTTAAAGTCCCCACCTATGATGTAATCCTCCGACTGACTGCTCGCGAACTCCCCCAGGTCGCTGAGGATGCCCCCGTTGGAGGCGTCGAGCCCCGCGGAGTGGTGAAGATAAAGAGATACCAGCAGTAGCGCTGGGCTGTCTGGTGCGTGACACTTGCAGGCTAGGCAGCGGCCCCTAGCAATGGCTGGGGAGGGCACAGAGTGGAGCCCAAGCCAAGACCTGGCAAAAATAGCCACACCGGCACTGTCTCCACCTTGCGGGCCTGGCTCTGCAGCAAGCCAGATGGACTTCCAGCCCGCACGCATCGCAGAGGCTGAGGCACGGTCAATCGACTCTGGGTCCCTGAGGCGGTGCTCTTGGCATAGAATGATGTGAGCCGAACATTCAGGATCCTCCAAGAAGTCTTTCATCGTACCCCACTTATTGCAATTCACAGACCACACCTCCAAGGCCACACTGACGACGCCCCTTTGGTCCTCACCTGGGTCCTGGGCCCTGGCCAAATGAGGGAGAGAGGAGCAGCTTGACTTGCCTGCTGGCCAAAGTGCAATGGGCTGAGCAACGAACGGACTGGCAGACAGAAATGAGCAAAACTCCCTTTTCAGCCTCCTGCTGGTGGCAGGCGTGCAAAAGCTCCTGGGGACTTCGCTGGGAACAGACATACAAGCGTGAATCTCCAAGAGAAAACTGTCAAGCTCAGCGAAGCTGCGGTTCAGCAGCGGCAAACATTCACGCACATGGGTAGAATCATTTTCCCCCTCCCTTCTCAGGGAGGGGGGGAAGATTGGAAAGCTCGTCTGCAACCAGGGAGCGAATGTCAGGCTCAGGCTGTGACACCGACGAGGACGCACTCGAAGACCCTGCCCCCGTAGACTGGCCCGACCCTTCTCCTGCAGCAGCTGCCTCGCCTCCCAGAGTAGCGGCATCTGAGACATTGCCAGCACCAGTCTTGCGCTTCTTGCCAAGCCTCTCGAGGTGCTTGGCGTGCTGCTCCTTGGCCTCCTTGATTTTTGATAACGCGTCCTGGAACAATGACTTGGCTGCCTCACGAACTTTCTCGGACAGCTCGTCCTTGCGCTGCTGGATCTCCTTACGGTCTTTCTCCTCAAGGTCGTAGGCGTCGTCGGCAACTTCGAGCACGTCAGTCGAGATGATCTGATCAATGGCGACAGTGCCGTCCACCAGCTGCTCGAGAGTGACCTGGGCCGCCGCAGCGGGTGCAGGCTCAGAAGGCACCTGCTGCTGTAGCTCCAAAACGACCTTCTTGTATGCAGCGTCGGCCTCGCCCAACTCAGAATGCAGCTCAGCCACTTTCTTGCGCTGCTCCCCCAGCTCGGCCCTCCAGCGGTTGAGCTTCGCGAACTCGACCTGAAGTGCCCTCTCTTTGCGGCGGACAGCAGCGTGGGCGGACTGAACCTGCTGCTGGAGGGATGGCGCAGGGGCGCGCTCCGACTTGTCGAGCGAGACGGCGATGGCACGATACTTCGCAGCCAGCTGCTCCTCCCCTGCTTTTGAGTGCAGATCGGCGAGTTGCTTGGCTTCGGTGGCGGACAGGCGTGGCACAGGACCAGGCGGCAGAGCTCCGTGTGGAACGTCGGGAAGAGCCGCCGCACGAGCACACCTGCCTGCTGCTGCAAGCTCGGAGCCCTTGCCCTTGCCCTTCTTGCCAAGGCCCTTGCGCCCTGCCTTGCCCCTGCCGCCCATGCGAACAAGTGCCTCGACCTCTTCTTCAGCAGATCCGAAACCTCGCGCCCATGCACCAGAGGCAGGCTGGACAGGGGCGCCTTGAACCAACGGCAGGTCGGAATGGCAATGCTTGCACCACTTGAAGTGCGGGAGGTTGCGGCGGCAGCCGCAAGACGGACATGCACTCTTGGACTGTGGCGAGTGGTGCACTGCGCCGCCGCCTCCCCCTTGCCGAACCCACGGGTGATATACCCAAGCGTCAGCGCCGAGAGAAGAAGCGTTGCGCGCCATCGCACACAAGTACAGGGAGAGCTGGAAACGAACGTGATGGTTGAAAGAGGTGGGGCAAGCCCCAGTAAGAGTATCAGAAGAACACTGAAGATCGAGATGGGGCCGCAAATCCCCTTGCCTCCTTCCATTCGTGTCATCCTCCACTTTCTTGGTACCCACTCCTACTTCTATTCTATTCTTCATACGTGTCTTCATCCTCCTCCTCGCCCTCTTCTCGTCCTCCTCCCTCTGGTCCTCTCTCTCATCCTCCTGTACCTGCTCGCATCCTCCCCCTCTGGATTATCCTCCCCCTTCTACACCTCGTCATCGCAAGCTCTTTATTGTCTGTACTCGGTGTCCAGGTGCGCGGCGACTCCAATGCGCGGAAGAAACCAGGGGGAGAGAGAAAGAGAGAGAGAGCGAGAAAGAGAAAGAGAGAGAACGAGAAGAGAGAAGAGAGAAGAGAGAAGAGAGAAGAGAGGGTGCCCTGCTAGCTGCTAGAAGGCGGCGCAGCCGCGCCGCTACGATGGGCCCTTGCGGCGGGCCTTCTTGCCACAGGGGCCTTTGCTCGATTGGCGTGGGCGTTTCTGCTAGCCGCGTCAGCCCTGGTCCTCACCAGGACGGCCGGCGGTGGTGCCTCCTCCCGTCCCTTTTGGTGTCTTTCGCCCGTTTTCAACACTGCCCGATCCCGATTATCCTCCTTCTCCTCCTCCTCCTCCTCCTCCTCCTCCTCCTCCTCCTCCTCCTCCTCCTCCTCCTCCTCCTCACATCCTCTTTTTGTCCTTTTGACGTTAAGCGGACTTCAAGCGATTCAAGCGCTAGCTAGGCTCGCAGCGTTCAACTCACCTCCTGTTCCTCTTCGCAGCCCGCCTTACCTTTTTCTACGTAGTCCTCTGTCTCCTTCTCCCAGACCTCACCTCCTCCCCGTCCTCTTTCTTCTCCGCCTTTTCCTCCTCATCTCCTCACCTTGTCCTCCTCCCCTGGACCGCCTCCTCAAACGTCTGCCCCTGGACCTCTCCTGGGGTGCGCCCTGACCCGTGCTTCGAGCTACGCCCAGCCGCGGCGACGAGGGCCCTCCAGGGGAACCGAAGAGAGCACACACCTCGATCTTCGACCCCCCCCCTCAACCCGCAGAGGGACAAAACAGTGGAACCCTTGGCTCCACCTCCCCCCGTCCACCCCTCTGTTCAAAGGTGACCCTGAGTATTCGGGAGCACAGGCTCGAAAGGACAAACAAATTTGAACCCCCAGGGCCTCCAGCAGGCCAGACGCCAACTCTGAGTCTGGGGGGAAGGGGGGCGAACGCGGGGTCGAAAACGAAGGGGCTCCACTTCTTTGTCCCCTCATTGTCCCTCCTCCCGAGGTCCCTGGTCTGCCTGGCCCTTGCCACCTGCGGCGCGCTCTACCTGGCCGCCACGATCTCCCTCGGCGACCTCCTGCTCAACGCGGTGGCTCTGGAGGTCCGGCGGCGCCTCCGCGACGCTCCGCCGACCCAGCGCCAGTTGTTCGGATGCCGCCGTCGCCGTCGCCGGCGGCGCCATCGTCGTCGTCGTCGTCGCCGTCGGCGCCGTCGGTGCCGTCGGCGTGGTCAGCTGAGCGTCGCCGTCGTCGTCGGCTCAGCAAGGTCAGCACCGTCAGCGTCGCTGCCCTCTCCATCCCTCCCCCAGTGGATCCCCAGAGGTCCAGTAGATACATGGACGACATGTCCGAACCTTGCACACTTGAGGGGGACGTTCATCACCCCCTGGCCTCCGAACTCAGTGATGATTTTAGCGTGGGTGGTGGTTTAGGGGTCCGAATATTTCTGTCCACCCATGTCCTCTCCATTGCCGCGCCCTCAATATTAACTTTGGGGGTCCGGGGGGGGTGTCTTGCGCCGCAGGGTTCGAACTTATTGTCCATGCACGGTCCCTCAGAGCCTCGATCGCATCGGACCGTCAACAAAAATATCCGTCAGGGCTTCGCCCCCTGCCGCCGGCCCCCTATCTCGGAGAATGAGCCATGGAAGAGCGAAGTCATGAGGCTTGGGCTTCGCCGTGAAGCAGTGTCGGGACCTGTTTGTTTTTCGACCCTGACCCTACGGATCTGCGTGAGGGGTGCCGCCGAATTTCAGAAATGTGGCAAGTCCCATGTGTTTTTGGACCCTGACCCTGCCGATCTGCGTGAGGGGTGCCGCCGAATTTCAGAAAAGTGTCAAATCCTATGTTTTATTGGACCCTGATCCTGCCGATCTGCGTGAGGGGTGCCAGCGAATATCAGAAAAGTGGCAAATCCCATATGTTTTTGCACCCTGACCCCGCCGATCTGCATGAGGGGTGCCGCCGAATTTCAGAAATGTGGCAAATCCTATGTGTTTGGGCACCCTGACCCCGCCGATCTGCGTGCGGGGTGCCACCGAATTTCAGAAATGTGGCAAATCCGTTGTGTTTTTGCACCCTGACCCCGCCGATCTGCGTGAGGGGTGCCACCGAATGTCAGAAATGTAGCCAATCCCTTGTGTTGTTGCGCCCTGACCATGCCGATCTGCGTGAGGGGTGCCACCGAATATCAGAAAAGTGGCAAATCCCTTGTGTTTTTGGACCTGACCCCGCCGATCTGCGCGAGGGGTGCCGCCGAATTTCAGAAAAGTGGCAAATCCCGTATTTTATTGGACCCTGATCCTGCCGATCTGCGTGAGGGGTGCCACCGAATATCAGAAAATTGGCAAATCCCATGTGTTTTTGGACCCTGACCCCGCCGATCTGCGTGAGGGGTGTAAATTCTTACCCACCCCAGCAACTCAGACAATACGATTTGGGAGTGGTAGAAATGCCCGTTTGGGGCCTCCCCCCGTCGCGCGGTCCATCAACAAGGAACAGTAAGCAGCAAGAAGTCAACAAGGAGCAGTGAGCAGCAAGAAGCAAGAAGTGGAGCAGTGGAAACTGGAAGCTGCAACTGGCACAGGAAACTGCGAAGCCTCGGCCTGCAGCCTGGTGGCCCCACAAGGGGGCCCGCGGATCTGCCGTCCCCGGCGGACGACGCTTAGGGTTTGATGGCTTGGTGCGTGCCGTGGGCAGCGCGACCGTCCGAGGATGACCACAGCGCTGGGCGCCGTGAGCACTCATCGACGGACTCTTCGCCCTCCCGCCCGCGCCCCCACTCCCGCAGTGGAGGCAGGGCTGGCCGCCGGCACGGTGCCCGCAGGGACGACCCGCGTGAGTTCAGCGAGGGCCTCTCTCACCGTGCCCATTCCGCCGTCGACGGCACTGGCGCTGCCCTGGCTGCCAGCGAACCCTCGGCAGCGGTTGCACGGTCCCCGTGCGGGTAGGGTTCGCTGGTACGCTGACATTCTTGCGGACGGTCTACCCCGTGGAGGTGCTGTTGCGACGCCCGGTTCTTGCCGAGAATTGGGCTTCACCCCGGCTGAGCTACGCCGCTTTGTTGGACAGGATGAGTTGGACCCAACGCTACAAACTCAAGCAATTCTAGACGCTTCGTATAACTCCACCAGCCCATCCAGAAACGATGCTCAGAGGAGTTGCCTCGATCAGGGAAGTGGGCAGCACGCAGAGGAAGGGTCCCCCAGTGGAGGCCTCTTGGAGGGTCTTGGGGGCCTCTTGGCGGTCCGGGAGGCCTCTTGGAGCGTCTTGGGTGCCTGGGGGGAGCTTGTTGGGGCCTCTTGCGGGTATCTTGGGAGTCTCTTGGAGGCCTCTCGGGCGCCTCTTGGGGCCTCCTGGGGCCTCCTGGGCGCCTCCTGGAGCCCTCATGAAGCAATCTTGGGAGCCTTGGGATTGCTCTTGGGGCCATCTTGAAAGACATCGATCAAACAAGAGGTGAGCTTTACTTAGCGTACCCCCTCCAAGAGGCCAAGTTGGGCCAATACCATAGTAAAATCAATGATTCTGGCTTCCTCGCCGAGGCCGTTCTGGACGCTCCAACACATCGCGGCCCCCCCCCTGTCCTGGTCCAGGGGAGGGGGTAGGGGGAGGGATCAAGACCCCCTCCCCGCCCGCAAGCCGTCTCGCTCACTCCCACCCGCCCTCCCAACACATACGTTGCACCCGAATCTGGCCCGAGCCTCAGCATATTCAGCAGTCGTCTTTGGATGGGCAGCTACTGGGGGCCAATCCGCCGCCGCCGCTGTCGCCGCCGCCCGCCGCCGCCGCCGCCGCCGCCGCCGCCGCCGCCGCCGCCGCCGCCGCCGCCGCCGCCGCCGCCGCCGCCGCCGCCGCCGCCCCGCCGCGCCGCCGCCGCCCGCCGCCGCCGCCGCCGCCGCCGCGCCCCCGCTGCCCCCGCTGCCAAACCGCCGCCGCAGCCGCTGCCGCCACCGCCGCCGCCGCCGCGCGCCGCCGCGCCGCGCCGCCGCCGCCCGCCGCCGCCGCCGCCGCCGCCGCCGCCGCAGCCGCCGCAACCGCCGCAGCCGCCGCAGCCGCCGCCGCCGCCGCCGCCGCCAAGTGTACGTTGCATTGTTTTTGACAGGGATGGTGGGGGGGGGGCCGCATCGGGTTGGCTGCGCATGTTCCGAATTTGGAGGCAGAGTGTGTTTTGTATTGTTTTTTGCAAGGGATGGTGGGGGGGGTCGGCATGGACCCTGGTTGGCCCCCAGTCGCCTGGGGGAGGGGGTGTTTATTAATAGGGAACAGTGATCAAGAGTCTCCCTCCCGCCCGCAAGCCGTCTCGCTCACTCCCACCCGCCCGCCCAACACATACGTAGCACCCGAGCCTGGCCCGAGCCGCAGCATATGCAGCAGTCGTCTTTGGATGGGCAGCTACTGGGGGCCAATCCGCCGCCGCCGCCGCCCGCCGCCTCCCGCGCCGCCGCCGCCGCGCCGCCGCCGCCGCCGCCGCCGCCACCGCGCTGCCCGCCGCCGCCGCCGCTGCCGCCGCCGCACCCGCCGCCGAATCGCCGCCGCCGCAGCCGCTGCCGCCGCAGCCGCTGCCGCCACCGCTGCCACCGCCGCCGCCACCGCCGCCGCAGCCGCCGCAGCCGCCGCAACCGCTGCCCCCGCCGCAGCCGCCGCAGCCGCCGCCGCCGCCAAGTGTATTTATTCTGCATTTTTTGGTGACAGGGATGGTGGGGGGAGGCCGCATCGGGTTCGTTGCGCATGCTGAGAATTTGGAGGCAGAGTGTGTTTTATATTGTGTTTTACAAACGGATGGTGGGGGGGGGAGCCCTCATCGACTCGGGTTGGCTCCTGGTCGCCTGGGGGGAGTTTTTTGTTTTTTTTTTTTTTGTTTTTTTTTGTTGTTTTTTTCATAGGGGGTGTCTGTTCATAGGGAACAGGGTACCCACCCGCCCGCAAGCCGTGTAGGTCACTCACGCCCGCCCTCCCAACACAGAGGTAACACCCGAGCCTGAACATGTTCAGCGGAACCAAAGCCGACCCCAGGTGCGCGACGCTTGGGCGAGGGGCGCCACGCGTGCCAGGGGCGCCACGCGCGCCAGGCAGATCTGGGGCCCGAGCGTGCCAGGCACGCCTGGTGCGCCAGGTGCGCCACGTGCTCCGAGTGTGCCAGGTGCGCCGCACACTCCAGCCGCGCCAGGTGCGCCAAGTTTGGGGGCACGTGCAGAGTGCGTCAGGTGCGCCTGCGCACGTGACAGCACGCATTGGGAAACATGTCGGCCCCCGCCATCCTTGTCTAAAACCAATGCCCTTCATTGTCTGGTGGGCCTGCGCACAGCAGGCCACGCGCCACCACCCCCGCGGTCCCTGTCTAAAAAACATGTGGCAGTGATCGCGGGATGGCCGCGCAGATCCAGATTTAGCCGCGAGGTGCATGTTGGATTGTTTTTTGTCAGGGATGGTAGCCCTGCGCACGGCATGGAATACTTATGCTGGCACCCACGCCGTCCGTGTCAAAAACAATACAAAGTGTCCGTGGGCCTCACGAATCTGACTCGAGACTTTGCCCCAAAGTGTACTTTGCATTGTTTTTTGAAAGGGATAGGGGGGCGCATCGGGTTGGCCGAGCACACTCCATGTGGAGGCAGAATGCGGTTTGTATTGTTTTTTGATAGGGATGGTGGGGGGCGGGTCGTCCTGGTGTCCTCATGGTTCCTGGTTGGACGCCGGTCGCCTGGGGGAGGAGGTGTGTATTACTAAGGAAGAGTGATAAACCCTTCCCCAATGGGAAGAAGGTGGTTAGAAGAGGAAGCGCCCTAGACCACTTCTAGAGCACCTACGCCAAGAGGGCTGGTGGGATTCTTCTGACGCTCCGCGTGTCCCCACCAGCCCATCCAAAACCGACGCCCAGGCGAGAAGAGACGATCATGGAAGCGTAGGAGCAATATGGGGGACAGTCGTTATAATTCGAGGGGGAGGAGGAGGAGGAGGAGAAGGAGGAGGAGGAGGAGGAGGAGGAGGAGAAGGATGAGGAGGAGGTGGAGGTGGAGGAGGAGGAGGAGGAAGTGGAGGGATGATGGATGATGGAGAAGGATGATGAATTTGCGGATGAGGAACAGGAGGAGGAGGAGGAGGAGGAGGAGGAAACGGGCGATCAGACGAGCCAGAAGCCTCTTGAATGCCTCTCGAAGTCTCCTCGGATGAAGTTTGGAAGCCTTTTGGAGGCCTCTTGGGGCGTCTGGGGGGGGGCACCTTGGTGGGCCCAGGGCCGTCTTTGAGCGTGTTGGATGCCTCGGGGATCCTCTTGAGGCCTCTTGGGGGTCCCTTGGGAGCCTCTTGGAGGCCCTTTGGGCGCCTCTTGGAGCCGTCTGGGCGCCTCTTGGGGCCCTCTTGGGTCGCTCTTGGGAGCTACATGAGGCTTTCTTGGAGCCATCTTGGAAGACATCGATACACAAGGAGGGGAGCTTTGATTTGCTTTGCCCGTCTAGAGTGCCTAAACGTGCCTCTTGGGGCGCTCTTTGAGCGCTCTTGGGCGCTCTTGAGGCCGTCTTGGGCCACTCTTGGGCCCCTTTGGGGGCCCTCTTGGGCCATCTTGGAGCCATCTTGAGGCCTCGGGTGGCCATCGCAAGCGAAAAGGCGAGAAAGCCAACAGCATTGATGTGCCCTCGGCTTTTGAAGGAGTTTGGTCTCTTGGGGGCCTCCTTGGGGTCCTTGGGGAGCTCTTTGGCCGCTTGGAGCCATCTTGAGGCGGTCTAAGGGCCTCTTGGAGCATCATGGACGCCATCTTGAGCGATCCTGCACTATCTGGAGCCATCTTGGAGGCTATCTTGGACTCTCCAAGGCCCTCTTGGAGCCGTCTTGGGCCATCTTGGACGCTCTAACGCCTCGCCGGGCGCCCCGTCCAGGTCCAGGGGAGGGGGTAGGGGGATGGGTCACGACACCCTCCCCGCCCGCAAGCCGTCTCGCTCACTCCCATCCGCCGTCCCAACACATACGTAGCACCCGAGCCTGGCCCGAGCCGCAGCATATGCAGCAGTCGTGTTCGGATGGGCAGCTACTGGGGGCCAATCCGCCGCCGCCGCCGCCGCCTCCGCCCCCGCCGCCCGCCGCCGCCGCCGCTCGGCAGCGGGGGCAGCGGCGGCGGCGGCGGGCGGCGCCGCCGCCGCCGCCGCCGCCGCCGCCGCTGCCACCTCCGCCGCCACCGCCGCAGCCGCTGCAGCCGCTGCCCCCGCCGCAGCCGCCCCAGGCGCCGCCGCCGCCGCCAAGTGTGCTCTGCATTGTTTTTGGTAACAGGGATGGTGGGGGGAGGCCGCATCGGGTTCGCTTCGCATGCTGAGAATTTGGAGACTGAGTGTGTTTTGACTTGTTTTTTTACAAAGGGATGGTGGGGGGGGGCCGCATGGTCTCGGGTTGGCTCCCAGTCGCCTGGGGGAGTGGGTGTATATTAATAGGGAACAGTGATAAACCCTTCCCCGAGGGGGAAGAAGGGGTTGGAAGGGAAACCACCCTAGACCACCTACGCCCAGAGGGCTGGTGGGGTTTCAAAAGGCCTCGCCGCCCCGCCACCATATGACCCGTGAGCCCGCGCGGTTGCTGAGGGGGCTTTCCTGGCTCTCCTGGGGTTGTTGCGTGAGATGGGGTTGGTCCCAGCACCGGGATTGCTGCTGCTCGCCCCCAGGGCGCGTCCCAGGGATTGGGCGATGATGGTGTGACAGAAACAGGTGGCCAGGACATGCACAGTCGGACCGAGGTATAGATCGAGGTCGGTTCGGGGAGAGTACCCAAGTGTTTGTCGTGTTTGTTGGATGTTTTCTTTTGCACCCTTGGAATGGTATCCGTTGGATGTTTTTTTGTGGTTTTGGCCGACGGAGGGTCTCATGCTCTTGAAGGATGCTCTTCTGGCATAGATCCGACTGTATGCTGCTGACGTTGACGCCAGGTTCGCTCAGGTCTACAGGGTGTTTGACATCTTTGTGCGGTTGTCCATGGCGGGCACCGTGCAGGTGGCCAGCGCCGGCATCCTCGCCACCCCAAGCAAGACCCGTGCACGCGTCGGCCAGCAGCCGAAGCAGGTCGACCACAACATTGTGGCCACACTTCGCCCTCAACTCGATGGGGCGCTTCCAGCAGCAGCATGGCGCCCTCAACCGCCACGTGGTGGAAATCGCTGATGATTTAGGCAAGCACGAAGTGGAGTTCGCAAGGACGCGGGAGGAACTTGTGGAGTTCTGCAGGCCGGCGGTCCTTGACAAGGCCGAGCCGCTCGAGGCTCCGCCCCTGTCTGGGCTCGGCTCTTCGACCGCGATGTTGACTAGACAGCGGCAGTGGTCGTTTCTGCGAAGTTGGCCTCCCGCGGTGTTGTCATCGCAGTGGTGGCGCCGTTCCAGCAAAAGCTGCAGTTCTCAGATGGTGGCTATGTGTTGAAGGGCACCGGGCCCTTCCCCGCCAAGAAGTTTTCTGTCACCGTCGGAGTCTCGCAGGGTCAACAGGGCCCTGGCGTCTGGTTGGAGCTCCACTGCCTTGCGGAGGACGGTGACCCTCCCCGCGTCCATTTCGGTCGGTTCAGACAAGAGCACCGAGCATCCAAGGCAATATGTGCCACTGGAAGATGCGCAACACCACTGCTGACTCACACCAGATCTCCAACTGGGCAGTTAACGTGGAGCGAGGCGTTCTTATGGCCAATCGGACGGACGAATTACGGACGTCTGTGAAGCCAGCTGTATCCTTCTCTTCCTTCTCTCCAGCGCACGAGCGCGCACGAGCTCTACCGAGCGAGAGATGGGGTAGCAGATCGAGTAAGGAAGCGTTTTTGTTGGTGCCTCGTTGGGCGAATTGTACCACCACTGGCTCTCTGGAAGTCCTCATCCAGGGGGCACATACCCACTCATCCTTCGCCTGTGGAGTCTCGTTCTAGGCCCTCCTCGAGTACCTCTAGGGAGGCTATCTAGAGTCCCCCCAGAGCCCTTGTAAGAGCCCTACAGATCCATCTTGGGCATCCGCTCGTCTACGTCACCACTTCATCGTCGCTGTCGCCACCGTCGTCGCTGTCTTCGTCGCCGTCGACATATCAGACGTCGTCGCCGCTGCCGCCGTCGCTGCCGCGCCGTCACGGCCATCGCCGTCGCTGCCGTCGCTGTCGCCGCCTCCCTCATTGCCATTGCCGTTGGTCGCAGCAGTCGCAGTAGCCGCAAGCATCGCCGTCGCCGTCCTCATTGCCGTTTCCGTCGTCGTCCTCGTCACCGCCACCGCGTTTCGCCGCCATCGTCGTCGTCGTCGTCGGCGTCGGCGTCGTCGTCGTCGTCATAGCCGTCGTCGTCACGACCGTCACCGGTCGTCGCCGCCGCCGTTTCCGTCGTCGTCGCCGTTGCCGCCAGCGTTGCTGCTGTCGTCACACGTCGCCGTCGTCCCCGTCTTGGCCCATGCCCTCGTCGTCAGCTGTCACCTTCGCCTTTGACAGGACGTCATTGCCGCGGGGTCCCGATGGTCATCGTCATAAAGACGGTGCGCCTTCGACAGCCCTCTAGAGTCATCTAGAGCGTCGTCGCGTCGTCGTCATTGCCTACGTCGTTCCCGCCGTCGCAACCTCGCAACGTCGCCGTCACGGTCGCCGTCGCCGCCGCCACAGCAGGTTGTTGTCGCCGCCGTCGTCGCCGCCGCCAGCGCCTCCATGGTCTCCGCCGCCTCCGCCGCTGTCACGCATGCGCGCCGCCGCGTCGCCGCCAACTCGACGCAGTGTCCGCCGCTGTTGCGGTCGCGGCGCCGCCGCCATCGTCGCCGCGGTCGCAGCCGTTGCCGTCAACTTCGCTAGCCGTCACCCTGGTCGTCGTCGCCTTGGCCGTCATCGCCGCCGCCGTCGCTGCGTCGCCGCCACCGTGGTTGTGCGTCGATGTCGTCTTCGCCATTGTCGCCAGGCATTCTAATGCATCAAGGCTTCAATGGTGCAACGTGGCAAGTCGGTGAAAATGTGTCTGCTTACCCTTTGTCTCCAGGCTTCCGACTCCTTCTGGGCCTCCTGAAGACTTCGCAGATCTCGGGGGGGGCTGTTCTGGGCCGGGGAGCTCCAGTGTGCGCCGCGAGAGCGCGGAGATGATTGCGCCTCGCATGGCGCGGAGCGCGAAGTCAGATGACCCAGGAAACGGGGCGGCTGACACAGGTGCGTATTCAAATGCTGCGACGCTATCGCGCTGACCATTCGGTGTTCATGTTCGTTCCAACGCCGAGCTGTAACATTGAGCCCGAAGAAAGAAGCCACAGCGGGCCCCAGGGAGGGAATTAGGACGCGAATCTCCTGGCCTGCCATTATTGGGAATTATCTTCGGGCCCGTTGTGACCGTCTTATCTTGGATGGCCGTATTATTCACGATCCAGTCGGCCGCGGCGTGGCTTACGGAAGTACTCAAGTGCGTGGAAGCGCTGCGACGCCATCCAACCATCCGTTCGGTGCTTACCTGCGCTTCCGCAAACTGCGTCCTTATTCACCGAATGCCCACTCGTCTCACGCGCCGAGTGATCCCCCGGCGTGGCTGGGCCAGCGGATTGTGATCTCGCTGGACGAGCTCGCTTTCGAGGTGTTTGCGCCCAGCTCCATGCGGGCCCTTATCTCTCTTATCGCCCCTTTGCCGAGGCCTCCTCCTACTCGTCATCCTGCTTTTCTCCTTCCCCTTTTCTCCTCCTCATCGTAATTATGTTGCTCAGTCCCTTTTGTCTCTCATCTGCCTCATCCTCCCTCCCATACTCCTTCTCAGTTGTCCGCCCTTCTCCTCATCCGCCTCCTCCTCCTTTCCTCATGTTCCTCCACGTTCTGCTCCTCCACCTTCACCACCTCCTCCTCCTCCTCCTCCTCCTCCTCCTCCTCCTCCTCTCTCTTCCCGTCCGCGAGGCCTCCGAGCCCTGCCCTGCGCGGTCTGGATGCAAGGCCAGTCGTGTCGCTCTTCGCCATCGGAGCCGGGGTGGCTGGAGTCTGGTGGTCGCCGAAGAACAGACACAGCACTGCATAAACATAACACGTCGAAGGTCCGCGCCGATTCACGGGTCGGCGCTGCACCTCCCTCCTGGCAGCGCCTTCGGGGCCGCCTCTGGTGCGCATCGCGCGCCAAGGGGGGGGGGCTCCTGCGTTGATCAAAGACAACCTGCCGGGACCTCCGAAAATGTATGTTTATTCAGTTTGTTGTTCTTCTAGGTCAGTCTTGCTGCCTCAGGTGGAGATACTCGAGACAGCACGGTCTGCGCTGTGCGACGGCGATTTGGACTTCATCGTCACTTGCGACAAGACTGGTGTAGTGGTTGCATACTCCCCCACAGCACTGGATGAGGGTGGTGAGCCGGTTGACGCTGGATCCATGTACAATTACCGCGCGATCAGGAACATTATCAAGAATGGAACGGACGGAACAAATAGCTTGTCTTATGGTGACATGTTTGACTCGGCGGTTGGCTTTACCGGCGGCCGGTTCACTGTGCAGGGCCGGGCTAACTACGATACGGAACGCGCAACCCATATGCTCAACGCGTATTGCGCGGACATGGATTGGAACGGCTCCCTCTCTTGGCCCGTTCTCGCGGACATCCTCGAGTCTGCGGGTGTTTTCTCAGGCGTCGGGGACATCGGGCCTTTCACCTCCTGTGCGGACGTGGCCCCGTTTTGTTACTCGGAGGACGCCGTATCCACTCGCGTCAGGCAGTATTGCCCAGTCACCTGTGGCTGCGACGATCCGTCTGGGGAGCTCATCCTCGTCGGGACGGAGCAGGGGTGCCCCTTGACGTGCGTCAATACACCGATGTACGCCCAGGCATTGAGCGACATGGACTGCGCGGACTGGACCATGGAGTCACCCTCGACGCTCTATGGCGTAGATCTGATGGAAGCTTACGTGATGGGCCTATATAAGATGGGCTGGCCCGAATGGGTGGTCGATGGGATGATCGCAATGATGAATGTCTCAATGAGTGCTAGCGGTTGCCCAGGACTGGCAGCCTTCATGCAAAGTGTCAGCACAGGCTGGAGTTTCGGAAACCTGTGCGATTGGAACAACCCGTTTGGCTTGAAGCCCATCACAGTATTTTGCCCTGTCTCTTGCGGTTGCCGGCAGAGCAATGACATTTTATGCCCAACCACTTGCTGACAAGACACACCATCCGAATCATCAGAATCATAAGTCGTTACCGGTGCCTTCATGTTCCACGTTCACGCTGACACGACAAGGTGCGCGTGGTAGGTCTTTCTGGCATGCTGTTAACTGTTGGCTGCATCTCTGCTAACCCGTGTTTCACCGTAACCGTCAACCTAAGAATCCGCATCAGTATTATCAGCATCGGCTAGGCTACATGGGTTTGCACTATTGCCAAAGAACTAAGCAGATTGCCAAGGCGGGGCCCGGGTCGTGGGATGGATGGTTGTCGGTTCGGGTTCCTGTGGGTGGCCCCGGGGACATTGCATATAGGGGCCCCGTGGTCGATCATGCTGCGACTCTTCGTATGGTGATTGTCGTGAGTACATGAGTTGTCTTTACGTCAGCCGTCGTAGATCCCACACAGTGAGATATTGCACCGGAGGCGAAAGCGATGCTTTGTAAGCTTTGCGGTGTGAGCTATGGTGTGCAAACTACGCAAAGCTACTTAGTGCCCAGTGTATATTATACATTTACACATACATACATGTATCGATGTGCATATGTGCTGGCCAGCCGGACTGCAAGCTGTGTGTTTCTAGCAATCTACGTTGTGCAATCTGTGCGGGGCACGATGTAGCGCAATATTTGCTGCAAGCCAGGTTCTGCATTCGACGTGGTGCAGTCTCGGTTGTGCAACCTATATGGTGCAATATACGTTGTGCAATTTATTCGGTGCAGCATTCGTTGTGCAATCTATGTGGAGCAATCTACGTGGTGCAGTACATGTGGTGCATTCTCCGTTGTGCAACATCGGTGTTGCGATCTGTTTTAGTGTGCAACCGACGTGGTGCAATCGATGTGCAGCATCCTGTGTGGTGCAATCTCCGAGGTGCAAATGACCCTGCCGATCTGAAGGTTGTCAATCCAGTGCACGCGCAACCATCCCACCCACCCACCCGCAACTTGGTTTGCAAAACCCATGTGGCGGCGATTGCGATGACTGCTTGGCGGCCAGCTAGGTTGTCGGAACCGACGTGGCCGCGGTGGCGCTGACCGCTGAGCAGTTTCCAGCGGGCACTTCAGTGCGAGTCAACGAATTGGGCGGACCGGGCATCATGGCAACGTCGACAAAGGTAGGCGCAGTGATGGTAGTAACGATGCTGGTGGCAATGGTGACAACGACGGCGGCAAAGGCAGTGGCGGCGTCGATGCTGATCACGCCGATGACGATGACGGCGTCCTCGCGTCCGTGATGCAGATTTTGGAAGGGGTTCGACATGCGCGCGTGGCCGACGCACGAGAGTGGCCGGCATGTCGTTATTTGACACAGATCGTGCCCCCCCCAGCACGCGCGCAAGGGCGTTCGAATGATTTCAAAGTGCGGCGCGAGAGGCCCGTTTGGCAGAATTTATTGAAAATGTTGCAAATGCTGGATTTCCTGCAGAATTCGCATGGCTGCGAGCGCAGGCATCTTTGCGAAATCTGGGTTTTTGAAGGATTTCCGCATGCGCGCGTTTCGACGCGCGCGTGTGCACTTCGTCCCGTTTTGTGCAAGGGATTCTTGCGACAGCACGCGCGGGTATTACAGTAGTGAGAGTTTGAGACGAGTTCGTAAGGAGCCCTGTAATACAGTCTCAGATATTAGATACTAGACAGGAGTACCGAGGGAATTTGCATCAAGGATTGTAGCCCCAGGCTCCTAACCATCGCCAATTGGCAGCAAAGTCGGCGAAAGGCTGCTAATTACACTTCGCCGCATAACATCGATATGGCGTCCTTTCCACCCCACTCCACTCCAGTCCACTCCTCCTCCTCCTCCTCCTCCTCCTCTTCCTCCTCGATCGACCTTCGGCTTCCCAGCGAGGATTTCGTGAACGCCATATTGCGGCCCGTGAACAGCGACTCGTGGCCTTCGAGCGCCAGCCCGCCTGCGACCGCCAGCTTCCTGGTCGCCTTACGCGGCAGTTGCAGGCTTCCCCCTGACATCTTGTCCAGGACCCCTGGGGGTCAGGGGTGCAATTGCCGGGCGGGGGGTATGAGGTTTGGGAGGGATGATCAGATCATCCGGTCCATCGCGTATGCTGAAAGTGTGTATTACACACCCGTGCCCCGTATTTCCCTGACCATTTCCACCCAACACGATATTTTTTTCTCAGGGAGGGTCGGGGGCACAAGCGACGAGCAGGCCCACACCCGTGCCCTCGCCAAGCTGGACGCCGGGGCGCGGTCTCGTGTATGCGCGGTGTCGTGGGTACGTTCCGCGCGGGGCATCCGTTCAGAGCGGCCGTACGTATGCACGGGGTCGCGGCCCAGGGGCCCAAACCGAACACGTTTCCCGCCAGCGGCGGGGGAAGGGGGGGGGAAAGGGGAAGGATCGATCTTGTAGGAAGGTGGAGGGAGCGTGAATGGTGAGGGTGAGGGCTTTTGCACGCTGCGTCTGCTTTTTGGGCATCCTGGCACGCTCTCGTCGCCACGGCTGGACTCCCCCGTCGACCCTGTGGTCGGGACACACCCTGGGATTGTTTCGCGGGGTCGGTGTCGAGCAGTAGGAGCCCAGACTTCCAGCGTCACGAAAGGTTGCGGCCTCCAGAGACCTGCTCTGGGCCCCGGAGCATTCAAACACATTGAGATATAAAGAAGCGGCCCCCGGGGGAAGGAGGGCGAGATGGCCTTTTGCCCATGCAGTACTCAGGGGGGAAATATTCACAGACACACACAACCGTCAATTCCCAAAGAAGTATGGGAAAATATGGGGAGCGAGGGGAAGACGGAAGTCCAGAAAATATTGAAAACATGGGGGATCGTGGGATTTGTGTGTATTTATTCCCCATATCCAGAGGATGGGTTTCTTGTTACTCCCCATATCCAAAGGATGGGGTTCTTGTTATTCCCCATATCTAAAGGATGGGGTTCTTGTTGTTCCCCGTATCCAAAGTTTGGGGTTCTTGTTATTTCCCATATCCAAAGGATGGGGTTCTTCCCATATCCAAAGGATGGGGTTCTTGTTATTCTCCGACCGCGCCGGACCACCCCTCCCCTCTTCACTTTCTGCATTAGACAATGATGATGCTTGTCATGATGATGACCATGGTATAGTGAGAACATGATGTGAGTATGATGGTGATTGTGAACGATGGATGGGTGTGATGATGCTGATGCTGATGCTGATGCTGATGATGATGATGATGATGATGATGACGATGACGATGACGATGACGATGAGCAGATGATGAGGATGTCTGGAGCGGCATGCTGGTTTTAGCACTCCTAAGGGGGGGCCGCCAGGGGTATTGCACGGCCTCCGTTTGCGCCCAAATGGTGGGGATGTTTCAGGCGGTTTGCCTGTTGTGGTCCTCAACATCCTCGGCTTTCGGAGCAGATTCTGAGGATGTCTCAGGCGGCTTGCTGGTTTTAGCACTCTTAATGGGGGGCCGCCAGGGGTATTGCACGGCTTCCGTTCGCGCCCAAATGGTGGAGATGTTTCAGGCGGTTTGCCTGTTGTGGTCCTCAACATCCTCCGCTTTCGGAGCAGATTCTGAGGATGTCTCAGGCGAGGCGCTGGTTTTCGCACCCCAGGGGGGCCAGGTTTCGAGGATGTCTCAAGCGGTTTGCGTGTTTTGGTGGTCAGAGTCGTCTGCTGTCAAAGCAGATTCTGAGGATGTCTATGGCGAGGCGCTGATTTCCGCACTCCCAGAGGGCCCAGATTGCGAGGATGTCCTAGACTCACTTATGCTCAAACTCACTCGTGCTCAGGCTCAGTCATACTCAGACTCGCAGTCATCATACTCATACTCAGACTCACTCACACCCAGACTTACGCACACTCAGACTCACTCAGACTTAGACCCACCCACCCTCAGACTCATTTGCAGTCAGACTCACCCGTACTCAGACCCACTCAGGGCCAGTTTCATATCCATCATGTTCATACTCAGACGCACTCACATTCAGATTTACTCACGCTCAGAAACACTCACACTCAGACCCACCCACCCTCAGATTCACTCGTAGTCAAACTCACTCGTACTCTGACCCATTCAGACTTAGACTCGTACTCACTATACTCATGCTCAGACTCATTGACTTTCGCACCCCAGGGGGCGCAGCTTGCCAGGATGTCCCAGTCTCACTTGTGCTCAGGCTCGTACTCATCACACTCATACTCAGACTCACCCACACGCAGTCCATGCAAATAGATGCACATATGGGGAGCTGCACGCAGTGAGTAATTATTCTCCGACCGCGCTGGACCAATATAACCCCTCCCGTCTTCCCTCTCTGCACTAGACAATGATGATACTTGTCATGATGATGACCATGGTATGGTGAGAGTATGATGTGAGTATGATGGTGGTGTGAATGATGGATGAGTATGATTATGATTATGATGATGATGATGATGATGATGTTGCTGATGATGATGACGATGATGATGATGATGATGCTGATGATGATGATGATGATGATGAACATGTTGATGATGCTGATGCTGATGAGCAAATGATGAGGATGTCTCGAGCGGCTTGCTGGTTTTAGCACTCCCACAGGGGGGGCCGCCAGGGGTATTGCACGGCCTCCGTTCGCACCCAAATGGTGTGGATTCTCAGGCGGTTTGCCTGTTGTGGTCCTCAACATACTCCGCTTTCGGAGCAGATTCTGAGCTTGAGGATGTCTCAGGCGGCTTGCTGGTTTTAGCACTCCTAATGGGGGCCCGCCAGGGGTATTGCACGGCTTCCGTTCGCGCCCAAATGGTGGGGATGTTTCAGGCGCTTTGCCTGTTGTGGTCCTCAACATCCTCCGCTTTCGGAGCAGATTCTGAGGATGTCTCAGGCGAGGCGCTGGTGTTCGCACCCCAGGGGGCCAGATTTCGAGGATGTCTCAAGCGGTTTGCGTGTTTTGGTGGTCCGAGTCGTCTGCTGTCAAAGCAGATTCTGAAGATGTCTATGGCGAGGCGCTGATTTCCGCACTCCCTGAAGGCCCAGATTGCGAGGATGTCCAAGACTCATTTATGC